CAGTGATTCTCACCCTTAGCCCCACATTAAAATCACCTGGGACTTTTTTTAAAGTCTTAATTTCCGGGACTCAACCTCCGGAAATTCTGTTTCTTTGTTATGGGGTGGGGGCCCACCATTAGTAACAAAGAAACAGAATTTCTGGAGGATGAGGCCCAGAAATCAGGATTTTAAAAAGATTCCCAGGTGATTCTAATGTGCAGCTAAGGTTGAGAATCACTGATTTATGGCAATGTGGTTGGGAGCCAATTCTGTTAATAGGATAATATTTCTCAGTATAAATTCACAGCCAGAAATTAATGTTTGCCCTTAAGTCATACAGCCAGAAAATTCACCAAGCAATCATACTGTACCAACACTTATTTTCATCCATTTCAAGAAAGAACAAACACTGCTGTCCAATTTTGAAAAAAACAGGCAACAAGGAGGGCCAGTCAATTACTACTCACTAAGTTATTGCAGTCACTCAGTGATTCCAAGAGTAGCACTCAAACAGACACAGAATGGTCCCGGCTGATTGGCACTTACCATTTCAGAATAGGCTTTGTGACAGACGGAGGCTTGGTAGGAGTCACCAATGTGCATCTTTTTCAGGAGCTGACCAGTTTTTAAATTCCTTAGACACCAAAAATAGGTAAGCTGATAACACTCTTCCAGGAAACTGGTTTTCACATCAAACTCTCTTATTTATCACAGCATCCGTTAGGAGGGGACCAAGAACAAACTAAGGACACAGGACCTTTGTTTTGTTTAATCACAGCCTGAGCTAAAAATGGAACTATAGTTTAATTTGGTCAATGGTTTTTTGTTTTTGTTGTTGTTTATCCACTGACAAGGATATTTCTTCCCATTGATTTTTTAGAGTGGAAGGGAGCGAAGATGGGAGGGGATGAGAGAGAGAAAACATCAATTGGTTGTCTGCCACACATGTCCAGAACCGGGCCAGGGATCGAACCTGCAACCCAGGTACATGTTTTTTGTTTGTTTGTTTGTTTGTTTTTTACTGTAGAGCCCCCTTCAGTGCTCACAGCCCAAGGGTAAGGAGACTGGGCAATGGTTTGAGGCTGCAACTTCCTCTGGCATGGGTCCACTAAGACAGGTACATGTTCTTGACGGGGAATTGAACCTGTGACTTTCGGTGTGCAGGCTGTTGTTATAACCACTTTGCCACACCTGCCAGGGATGGCCAATGGTTTAATTTGATAGTTTAGCCCTCTGCTATGCCACTAGGGAGAAATCTCTCCAAATTCAAGGAGAAAGGGTTTCAATGATCTCATTTTACTTGGTATTAAAATTAGGCACATGGTATAGCTCTAATCATTATGATTTTGTCACAATTTTTGTTATACCTAAATTTTCCATGGAGGACAATGGTCAGGAAACTAAATCTGGTTAGGCAAGAGATGACACCTGAAAGAGACATATAATTATGTCTCTATAATCTGCTTATTCCAGAGCCAGCCCCAGATAATGGAGAAAGAAGGAAAGACTGAGCTGCGGTGAAAAATGGAAAAAAGGGTGAAAGGAGAGAAGAGGCTAAATCCCTGGCAGGTGTGGCAAAGTGGTTATAACAACAGCCTGCACACCGAAAGGTCACAGGTTCAATTCCCCGTCAAGAACATGTACCTGTCTCAGAGTGGAACCACTCCTCAGCTTGAGGATTTGTGACATTAACAACTGTTCTATCATGTGACTCTGCCGATGAAACCCTTTCAGTTGGCTCCCATTAACCACGGATAAAGTCCAAGTAATTTTTCATGGTACTTACAGTCCTCACGAAGCCAGCCCTGTAGCACCGTTACTCACACTGCTCCTGTGCCCGACAGCTCACTATCTGTTCAGCATGTATGCATGTTCCCAGCTCTCTGCTTTTGTTCAAGTTATCCCTCCGAATGCCCTCATTACTGGCCAACCTCCTCCCCGTGTTGACCAACACCCACCCATTTCTTATGGCCCAGAGCATGTCCCACCTTCTCCCAGCAGCATGAGCTCAGTTTAGACTCTCTCACTCCTCCCTGTCTGCACCAGTCCACAGAAGTCTCCTCACCTCCAATTCCATAGAGTATTGTCCTCATGCCTTATTTTTAATGTAATATATACTGTAATAGGGTAGAATGCAATCATTCAACACATACTTCTGAACTTCTAGGGCCCAGGTACTGTATACAAAACTAAAGGCAGGAAGCTAAATTCTCATGTAGGTATGCCAGGTTTTCCTCATACAAGGGACACCAGAGCAGGTGCATCCCTTACAGAGGTTAGTGCATGTTCTGTAGATAGTAACAGCTCTCTCCCAAATCCCAAAGCTCTATTATTGTGACACTAGGAACTGTGAAGCAATCTTATTTACCTACTAGGTTTTAGGGGCCTTGGGGCCAGGATTCATATTTACATCCCTCACAGAGAAGTAGAGACTCAAATATCTATTAAATAAGTGAAAGATGGTTCTCAGTTAATGTAGTTTGACCAAGATTTAATATTTAAAGCTTCAGCAGTAGTTTCAAAACAGGCCACTTGAGCCCTGGCTGGTGTGGCTCAGTTGGATGGGAGCCATCCCCTGCACCAAAAGGTTGCTGGTTCGATTCCTGGCCAGGGCACATGCCTACAGTGTGGGGCCTCATCCCCAGTAGGGTTGTGTTCAGCATGTTTCTCTCTCGCATCGATGTTTCTCTCTCTCCCTCTCCCCCCCTCTCCTTTCTTCTCTCTCTAAAATCAATAAAAACAGAAAAAATTATTAAAAAACACACCACTTGAACTTGGAGTATAACATGAATTGCTTTAGGCACCCAACAAATAAGGAGTCCCACAGGAAAGGTGAACAACTACTATATGTACATGGATAGGGTGTCCCCCGAAAAGGTATATGCATACTTTGAATAATTATAAAGGCAGTGTTTATTAAAATACATTTTGTTTTAAAAATTGAGCTATCAGCTGTTAAAGTGTATATACCTTTTTTTAAAGAAATATTTGTATTGATTTCAGAGAAGAAGGGAGAGGGAGAGAGAAATAGAAACATCAATGATGAGAGAGAATCACCGACCAGTTGCCTCCTGCACGCCCCCCACCGGGGACCAAGCCCACAACCCAGACATGTGCCCCTGATCAGAATTGAACCCAGGACCCTTCAGTCCACAGGCTGACGCTCTATCCACTGAGCCAAACCAGCCATGGCAAAGTGTATATACTTTTTTGAGGGACATCTTATAGTTATAGAGAGCCCAAAGGTAAAAGACAGCTTCTGATAGACAGCGTGAGCCATACTTCTTTGAGTAGCTACCCTAAGCAAACAGCTAAGACAGGCACTAAGAACGGATATAGGATGTGGCACTATCTTCAAGGACTTCCATAATACAAAGCAGCACACACTAAATTAAAAATCAGGGCCCAGGCATTCAGACAGGGAAATGCCAATGAGGGCTGAGGTGATATGATAGAACTCAAGGCAACTGTGGGGGAAGGCACCCCTTAATTAGGACTCAAACTTACTCTTAGTATAGAGGTCCCTCCCCAATCCCAAATTCTGTTGTGATCCATTACATATGAGATGCTAAAAGACAGCTATTAGCAAAAGGGGGGAAACGAGGGATGGGAAGAAAAAAGGGAGCCAAGTGTATGGAGCACTGAAGAGGGAATTTTTGTAGTATAGCCTGGGAAATGGAACCTGAAGGAAAGCAAACATGGGCCCCCCAAAAGGTTTTCTTTCTGGGGCAGAGGGGAGAGGGCTGGGAGTAAGAGTGTTTATAAAATAACAGCATAAAAGATGATCTGGAGGTTGAATATTGGTTCATGGCAATTACTAGATTAAATTAATAGTCTCAGAGCTACATAATGAAGGTCTGGACTACAGAAATAGCAGAAAGAATAGAAAAGAGAACTTAGGTAAAGAACACTGTCCTCCAATAAGACCTGAGACCTGAGGGAAGTGCCCAAGTGGGAGCCTGCTGCTCTAGGTGGCAGCAATGTGAGAACAGGCTCCTGGCGGGGTAGAACACGGTCCCCTTCCAGGGCTCCCTGGGGAGGAGGGCAGGGCTTCTCTCAGGGGCCATGCTTTCCTACGTTACTCCCAGAAGGTTAGCAATGGGCAGTGCAGAAGAGGTAGGTAATAGTGACATTCATATCATAACTTTCTCTTTTCAAGACCCATTCTGGCCCCAAGGAAACAGTTAATGGAAAAGCTTCTGAGGAAAAAAAAAATCATTATTCTCCTAATATAAATTAACCCTGCAAGTACTGATGGCCAGGCATGGTTCTCCCTGTGGTCAGGAAAGAGTGGTGGCTGGGAACTCCTTGACTTCAGTTTCCCTACCACAAAGTTACTAATTTGGATCCTGTAATGAACCATTTTTTATGTACCTAGTAATTCTGGATTATATTCTAGGCATCACGAGTGACACTTCACATAAACTCTGGATTCTCTTAGGTTTCCCTGAAGAGTATTAATTCTGGTCCCCCTCTCCCCCCATCCAGTGACCTGTTAACTTGGCTAACCTCAAATTCCAGTTGCTTTAAAACCTAGTTCAGTTCTTTATGCCTTACCCAGGCTTCCCTGAGTCTGCCCCACATATGTCATTTAAAAGGTCAGCCAGCAGAGATTATAGCAAGAGTTAGGGCTCTTCTCTGGCTCTCTGCTTTTGGGATTTCTCTGCCTCACTTTCACACTGAACCAGCAGGACAGCAGGTTTTCTTTTTATTAAATTTATTTGGGAGCCCTGGCCAGTTTTCTCAGTGGTTAGAGCGTCGGCTCTCAGACCGAAGGGCTGAGGTTTCGATTCCAGGTCAAGGGCATGTACCTGGATTGCAGAATTTATCCCTGGCCCAGTCGGGGCAAGTGCAGGGGCAACCAATCAATGTGTCTCTCAGATTGATGTTTCTCTCTCTCTCTCTCTCTCTCTCTCTCTCTCTCTCTCTCTCTCTCCCACCTCCCTTCCTTCCACTCTCTCTTAAAAAAGAAAAATGGAAAAAATATTCTTGGGTTAGGATTAACAACAAAAAGAATGCATTGGGGAGACACTGGTTTACAAAATTATACATGTTTCAGGTGTACAATTCTACAACACATCTGAAGGTTTCTATCAAGCTTTTGGCCACTCGGTGGTGGAGTGGAGCCTGCCCTCTACTAAAAGCCATAAGGACCGGAAACTTGTCCAGTGACATTTCCTGTCTCTAAGGGTCGAACCCCCTCCAGTATCCTTATTCTTTTTCTCACTCTCCAGTGTCTTCAGTTAGTTGATTTTTATATTTATTCCAGAGTTTATAGTCACTTGAAGTAGGAGGGTTGGTCTGGTAGAAGCCACTCAAGCACTAACCAGAAGCAGAAACAATCATACGTTTTTGCCAATAAAATTTCATTCATTGATAGTCTACTCAGACTGATACTTTTCACAATGTCTGAATTAATATGATGTTCTTATTAAGTATCTAGCATCTGACAGTAAACAAACAAAAACTATCATATTTACGACCTCTTATTTCATCTTAATGACCCTGTGAAATTAGAGGTATATCCTTATATTACAGAAGAGAAAAGTGAGGATCTTGAGGGAAAACTTACCAAATAACAATGTTGTTCATTATAGTGGTACCAAGCAGAGCTTCCTGTGTCCCTTGAACCTCAGCAAAAGTTAGTACCGTCTCTTCGGGAGGCATCAGAAACTGTTTTTCTTCACTTCTGCATTTAAAATAGTATTAAAACCCAGCACTTTGTAGCAAAGCACTTTCTAAGCAGCCCTTCTACATATTATTGAAGTCTGTACAATAAACTTTAACCCAATACCAGAAAAAAGATCCAATCAGGAAACATGTATATGCTAAACTTTCTACAACATGTATTACTTCTAATTATCTATCTGGATATACTGCGAGCACCACAAACTCATCATATCCAACTAAATTCACCAGCTCTCTCTTTAAACTTCGCGTTTCTTTCTGCATTCCTATCTCAACGAATGGTACCATCACCCAGGTGGCCAGCCCAGAAACCTGGACATTTTCCTTGTCTCCCTCCTTTCTATCTCCTCCATCACCAAGTCCTAATGATTTTATCATCTCACCTATCCCAAATCTGTCTGTTTCTCCCCATCTCCACTAACACTTTCCTAATTTAAGCAAATAATTGTCTCTTGTCTAGATTACTGCAGCAGTTTATAAAAAGATATACCGTCTATTACTAGAAAAGACAGATTAACAATCACAATAAAGTATATAAAGGAGTATACAACAGACACAGAGGACACTAAGAGCTTCGTTTTCAGCGTGTTGAATCCGAGGGAACCCCAGATGTCTAATGAAGAGGCATGCAGGTCTAGAGGTCAATAAAGAGCTCAGAGCTGGAAATGTATGTTCAGAAGTAGTCAGCAGCTGGACAGTAACTGAAGCCATGAAAACCAAGTGTGTGGAGCAAGAGAAGGGTCTAGAACAGGGGTGGGCAAACTTTTTGACTCAAGGGCCACAATGGGTTCTTAGAAGACAAAAGGAACAAACAACATTTGCTGAGCCTCTCCACTGCACTGGCTTCCTCCCTGCACGTCCGCTTCCACCCTTCTAACTGCTCTACGTTCCAGTGCTGAGCAGAACCTGCGACATCACGCCCACACACAGAAAGACAAGATGCTGGGGATCCAACTTTCTCTGAAACCCGGGGATGAAATCATTCTTTATCTAATGGTTAAATCAGCTGGTGCTTTTCTTACCCTCCTTCTGCAAGTGTCATGATCTCTACTTGCTGATCACAGAGGGTCCTGCTGCTGCTGACTAGCCTCCTCTTTGTCAGGCCAAGCACAGCGTGTATATTTCCAGTCCTCAGGAGCACCTGCTTTTCACATCCACCATCAGAGGAACAAAGTAATGCCCTAAGCCAAATATAAAAAAAAATGCAGAGAACTCAGAAGTTTTTTTTTTGTTTTTTTTTTAAATAAGATTTAAAAATTGATTTTACAGAGAGAGGGAGAGGGAGAGAGAGAAACATCCACCGGCTGCTTCCCTTCTGTCAGACGGGTTCAGCGTGAAAGTGAGGCAGAGAAATCCCAAAAGTAGAGAGCAAGAAAAGAGCCCTAAACTCTTGCTATAATCTCTGCCTAATTATCTGGTTGACCTTTTAAATGACATGTATGTGGGGCAGACTCAGGGAAGCCCAGGTTTTGGATCAAAGCCGAAACCTGGGCACTTGCCCTGACTGAGAATCGAACCTACAGCCTTTCAGTGCATGGGACGCTCAACCAACTGAGCCACACCGGCCAGTGCAGGAGTAAGTCTTTAATAGTAAAGGACTAGGTTCAAATTTTAAAAGGAAACTTAAGTGCGGGATCAAGTGAAAGATAAAGGAAAAGAAAACTTCTGGAGAACTACGCACCTGATTTCTCTGATTTCCAAATTCCCCAAGGCCACACACACAAGATTACACACATCAGGCATGGGAACTATCTGTAACACTGGAACCTAAATAAAATAAGAGCCAAAATGATGTTTGGTTGTTTCATTTTTAATCAATCTAAATTTTCCAAAATTTGTTGCATCTGTTTTCATTCTTACTATACCAGGATAGTTTCCAACATTTGGAAATGTGAGAAGGTTCGGCAAATACCCGTTTTTATTATTCGTAAGTCCAAATAAGCTACATGCATAACAGTGTTTACTGCAGCATTTATTCATGCAGCTTATGCTCCTACCAACAGGGGAACAGTTAAGTAAATTTTGGCATTTGAGCCAATACAACCATTAAAATAAACTTATTCACTGAACAAATATTTATTTATTGAGCACAAGCACAGAGCAGGAAGCTGTGGATATACTAGAGAACAAGAATGAAATCTGCTAAGAGAGGAGATTAAATCTTCAAGGTTCTCACAAAAAGAAAAAAAAGGTAATTATGCAAAGTGATGGATGTGTTCCATCACTTAACTGTGGGATTCCTTTCCCAATGTATACACATATCAAATGATCACTAAGTACACTTCAGACATATTAAAGTTTATTTGTTAATTATACCTGAATAAATCTGGAAATATAAATAAAATTCTACATAGATAAGTATGAAGGAGAAATGTTTATATGCTAAGTGAGAAAAAGTTTAAAAATTGTAAGCCACTAGGAGTGCACCAGGTGGACAAGCATGAAGGTGGACAGGACCTGGAAGAAAACACATGCGGAAAAGCAGCAGGAACGATGCTTTCCTGAAGGGTAAGATCGGTGGGTGTCAGCACGCTTAGAAGTCAGAACAGATGGAAACGCCAAGCTGCTTCATCAGCTCGAGATAAAGACCCACCTCTGGGTGAACGTGCGGTAAAGCTAATGAAGCACAATGTGAACTGCAGACTAGATGGCAGGGACATGGTGCTCACTGCACAATTTTTCTGTTATGTTTGAAATTCTCCTAATAAAGCTTATCTCTCTGTTCTGTTTTGCAGTCACAGACCCCCGCTCCTCCTTTGGTAAGCTGCTGATCCATTATCATGCAAAAACCACAAAGATCTCTTTTAGACTTGGACTCACCTCTGCAAAGTGCCAGGAATACATTTTTTCCCACTGCCCAGTATCCAGAGGTTTCCAAAGAGAAACTGCATATTCACAAGCAGTTATGATACACGGCTCTTTGACACCAGCTATTTCCCACCACATGGCACTCACATCCACGGAACAGGAACCTGAAGGATTCTAACCAGAATGGCAATAATGTTATGCTAAAGGGATACTTGGGACCTGTTTTATGAAAAAAATATGAAAAGTGATGCATGACAAGGATTAATTAAATACCAAGTAAGTGTAATGAAAGTTTTATGCAGGTCAAAATAGAGCATGGTGGGTCTTACAGGTAACTAAAAAGGTGCCCATACACCTTCATCTCATGATGTAATTTAAAAGTATAGCTCCACCCTGGCTGGGTGGCTCACTTGGTTGGAGCATAGTCCCATACACCTAAAGATTGCAGGTTGGATTCCAGGTCAGGGAACAGACCTAGGTTACGGGTTCAATCTCCGGTCGGGGCGCATATAGGAGGCAACCAATGGATGTTTCTCTCTTTCTTCCTCTCTCAAAAAACACACAAACAAAAAAACCTAAAGAAATAAAAAATAAAAGAATAGACTACTCCAGAATAGAATACATTCAAATTTAACCACAAAAGATAGCCCATAAGAACATATCCACTTAGAAATTAAACATCCTGATGAACCACTCATGGGTTGAAATAACACACTATTTCTAAATGAACAGCAAGGAGAGCACTAGGCATCCAAACATACAGCATGGGGGGGAGGGGGAGGGAGAACAAACATGCAGCATGTGGCCAAAGCAAGATTTCCCCAAAAAATGTATAACCAATCATAAATGCATTTATTAAAAAGCAGAAAGGCCCTAACCGGTTTGGCTCAGTGGATAGAGCGTCAGCTTGCAGCCAGGTTCGATTCAGGTCAAGGGCATGAACCTTGGTTGCGGGACATCCTCAGTAGGGAGTGTGCAGGAGGCAGATGAATTGTTTCTCTCTCATCGATGTTTCTAACGCTCTATCCCTCTCCCTTCCTCTCTGTAAAAAATCAATAAAATATATTTTTAAATAAAAGCAGCCGTAGCCGGTTTGGCTCAATGGATAGAGTGTCGGCCTGTGGACTGAAGGGTCCCAGGTTGGATTCCGGTCAGGGGCATGTGCCTTGGTTGCGGGCACATCTCCGGTGGGGAGTGTGCAGGGGGCAGCTGATCGATGTTTCTCTCTCATCGATGTTTCTGACTCTCTCTCTCTCTCTCTCTCTCTCTCTCTCTCTCTCTCTCTCCCTCTCTCTCTCCCTTCCTCTCTGTAAAAAATCAATAAAATATATTTTTTAAAAAAAGCAGAAAGATAAAGTAAGCAAGCAGCTCAAGAAAGTAAAAGAATAATGAAAGGACCACAATGAAAAACAGAAGGAAGGAGTTATTAAGGGTAAAAACAAAAGTAAATGAAACAGGAAATGAAAACTTCAACTATCAATACAACCAAAAACTAACTTTCTACAAGACCAACAGAATGGACAAATCTCTTAAATCTGATGTAGGAAAAAAATATTTTTTAGAAATGGGGGCTTTTACTTAAAGACACAATGAAACGGCTGATTCCTGAAGAAACTAAATTATTAAAATTGATTGAAGAATAGCTTCGAAATGACACAGGTATTACAATGTATCTTTTATTGAAAAGGAATCTGGAGCTCAGAGGCTAAATGATTTGCACAAGGTCACAAAGCCAGTAATTGGCAAACAGTTTATGTGGATTTTAAACTCTTTCTTCTGTACCAGTTGTTCTCAACTGGGGGCAATTTGGCAACCCGCCTTGGGGAACACTTGACAATGTCTGCAGACATTTTTGGTTGTTGCAACTAGGGAGGGGGTGCTACTAGCTCTATTTGGTAGAGGCCGACGCTGCTGCTGAACATCCTACAATGCACAGGCCACCCAATCTCTCACAGCAAATAATTATCCAGCCCCTAATGTCAGCAACGCTGACATTGAGAAACCGTGCTCTACACTGTGAATACAAAGGTAACTAAGTCACAGGTCCAGTCTAATTCTCAGGATTTACTAAAACGTCATTAACAGAATATTGTTTTTTTAATGCAATGATCAGTTTAAGAAAACATTTATTGAATTTAGAGAGAGAGAGAGAGAAAGGGAGAGAGAGAAAGAGAGAGAGTAATCAACTTTGTTGTTCCACTTATTTTATGGATTCACTGGTTGCTAGTAATCAACTTTGTTGTTCCACTTATTTTATGGATTCACTGGTTGCTTCTTGTGCCCTGACAGAGGATGGAACCTGCAAACTTGGCATATCAGGATGACACTCTAACCAACTGACCAGGGCTCATTAACAGAATATTGTAATTTACATTTTTTAGAACCACATACATCACACAGCATATAAAGATTAACCATTCACTACATCGCAATCAAGAACTGCTACCCATTTTCTGATATATCACCTTAAGTGCTTCTTCTAGAAACATTAGATGATTTGGGTAGGAGAGTCACAAATGACTCCTCTTTCTTTCTCTCCCTCTGTTAATGCCTGATTTTTATTTAAATAAGTTGAGTTACTGAACTTAAGTTTTCTTGGCAATAGCTTGACATACAACCTTCTTCAGATGATCTCAAAATATAAATATAGGTGAATACTGTGAAAAACAAAGAACTTAAATCTGTTTTTCTGAATCCTTTTTATCAAATTTATTTAATAGTATTAAGTTAAGAATGAAAAGCTATTGCCTGGCCGGTGTGGCTCAGTGGTTGAGTGTGTCCACCTGTGAACCAGGAGGTCATGGTTCGATTCCCGGTCAGGGCACATCACATGCCTGGGTTGCGGGCTCAGTTCCCGGTGGGGGGCAGTGCAGGAGGCAGCCAATTAATGATTCTCTCTTATCATTGATGTTTCTCTCTCTCTTCCTCTCTGAAATCAATAAAAATGTATTTTTAAAAATGAAAAGCTATCTAATAAAATTCTCCATTTTCCTATTCATCACATTTTTTTTACATGTAAGACAAAGACACATTAGAAGGTAACAGTGTTCTGACCTTTAACTTTGAAACCAACTGTAGGTTGCCTGGGTTTAAGCTGTCACAAGCAGGAACGTCTGCTAATTCAGTCTGTAGAAACAAAAGTCACACCATTAATCTACACTTTACGTATGACATCTGCTGCATCATTCACTCATCAAAATGCCTACTTCTTATGGCAAACTGCTTCACTGATGACAAAGCCAATATTAAACACATTTTTAAATTAACTTTAATTTCCCCAGAATGAACTTAAAGTTTACAGTGATGTCCTATCAAGGAAACATATCAAAACATTCTTAAACACCGAGGAGCCAATGTGTACAGAAGTCACTGAGGTGCGTCATTCCTTCAGAGAAAATGTCACAAAGGAAGCAGATTGTACCTGTTCGATGGAATGTTCCCATGAGTCAGGGCATTTGCTTCCACAGGGTGGACTTTCTTTGGAAGGGAATGACTCAGTGGGGAAAGGTGTTGCTTGGGGACCAGAATCGTAGGCACCGCCAGGCTGTCCCTTCCTTCCCGTCACACGCAGGCTGCCATCTAATTTTGGTTGGCTGGTGCAACTGTGGCATTGCTTACTGTCACTGGCTTTCCCAGGAGAAAGCTGGGGTGAAGAGCAAGTTAGTTCAACAACCTCTGCAGACACTTTGTCACAGCGTGTCGGGGAGCCAAGAGCTGGAGTAGTGCCTAAGACGGGGAAAGCGGGGGAGCACACATCTGCTGTCGGTCGGCCACTACCATCCGGTGTAACAGTATTTACAGGAGTGAAGAGTAATGCGGGCGAGGAAAGGCCCTTCTGCCCAGGCTGGCTTTTTAGCTCTGTCATTTCAGGAGGTGCTTTTCCTGGTAGAACAATCAGTTCCTCTTCCAAGTCCTCCATTTCCATGTGGATTTGCTTAGGAGTCAGTTCCTCCAAAACAAGATAATTTCTCTCTTTCAGATGCCTCTCTCCATACACGTTTGATCCGAAAGGCTCAATCAGCTTTTCTGAGCAGAACTTCAGTTTTTCAAGCTTAAGAGATCCAAAGTCTTCATCAGGTAACTGAAAGTCTGTGATTTTGAGAAAAGGCGACAGTTGCTTTAAACTTAGCATTTCATTCTTATGAGACGGAGCACTGGAAGCATCACCGCCCAAAGCTAAATAAGCATTATTTATGGAAGAAAAGGAGTCCTCTTTTTGGCAGTGACCTTCCTTCCCTAAAATAGAAAGGAACAATAATAACAAATAACCAACAAGAGACATTAACCCCCAACAAAGAGTGCACTTCTAAACTCCAACAGGATGTAACAGGTTCATAACTTTCCTCCTCCATGACCCTGAAACCTCAGTGAACAGTTCAAAAATCAGCCACAGGTTCGTGGTTAACTAGCAGCTCTTCTTGTGCAGTCGCCCAAACAGGTGCTGACAGCGTTAGTTGGGGGAAGACAGGGGTCTAGTCCCAGCTCAGCCACTGACTTGCTGTGCTACTTTGGCCAAGTCAATGCACTTCATCTTCCCTGGCCCCTCAGAAAGGAAATGGACTAAGAATCTCTAAAGTCCTTTCTGCTCTAAAACTATGATTCCAACAAACTACCAGAATACAGTCTACAAAATGCTGGCTTTTCTCACTGAAGAAAACTTAGTCCCCCTTTCAAGTAAAGAGTTATTTACTACTAGAGGCCCGGTGCACGACATTAGTGCACTGGGGCGGGCGGGCGTGGGGGGGGGGGGGGGGGAGGTTGTGTGTGTCCCTCAGCCCAGCCTGCATCCTCTTGCAGTCTGGGACCCCTTGGGGGATGTCTGCCTGCCACAGAGGCAGGAGAGGCTCCCACCACCACCTCTGTGCTTGCCAGCCAGAAGCTGGGTTGCTCCTCCTTAGCATTGCCTCAGAGGCAGGAGAGGCTCCTGCCACAGCCGCTGTGCTCACCAGCTGTGAGCCTGGCTTCTGGCTGAGCAGCGCTCCCTGGTGGTCAGTGTACGTCATAGCAACCGGTCATTCTGCCACTCAGTCGATTTGCATATTAAGGTTTTATTATATAGGATTCTTAGAGACTGGAATTCTTCTATACCATTCAAAATGCATCTGAATCCATCACCTAATAATGAATAAATAAATGCTAGTACATATATATACACAATGGATTATTCAGCCATAAAAAAAAGAATGAAGTACTAATACATGCTAGAACATGGATGTATCTTGAAAGCAAGGTGAAAGCAGCCAGACATAAAAGATCACACATTGTATAATACATTGACATGAAATAAGTAAACCCATATAGAATAGACTGATGGTTGCCAAGGGCTGGATGAGAAGAAATGAAGATTAAATGCTTAGTGGGTACAGAGTTTCCATGTCAGGTGATAAAAATGTTTTGGAACTAGGTAGGGATCACAGTTGCATGTTGTAAATGTACTCAGTGTTACTGAATTATTATTCATATGTGAAGGTCACCTAAAAAAATTTAAATGTAGCTGCAGGTTACTAAAATAGCAGATTATGTCAACATATAGAAAAGAAAGTTTCTAGTTTATTCTTATATTGCCCTACTTTCTATTCCTTTGTATTCTTATTGACTTAGAAGACGATACATCATAATGACTCTTATTTTTAACTAGAGGCCCGATGCACGAATCGGGGCCGCAGGAGGTTGGCTGTGGGAGCACACTGACCACCAGGGGGCAGCTCCTGTGTTTAGCATCTGACCCCTGGTAGTCAGTGAGCATCATGGCGATGGGTCGTTCAGTCGCTTAGGTTTTTGTATATATAGATTAATTATAGCGCACAGACCAGGGCCTGAGTCCAAGCACATAGAGAAAGCAGGTTTTATTTTTGTAAATAAGTGTTATTGTAATATGGTCACATTTACATGTTGTCTGTGGCTATTTTTGCACTTTACTTGAGTAGCTCTAATAGAGCACAATTTTCTACATGGCCCTGTATAGAAAGTTTGCTGACCTCTAATACAGAAGCAGAGTGAACTATCCAGTTTTCATGCTCAGTTTATCAGATATGACTTCCAAGTAAATGAATAAATATTCACTTGCTAGCTTCCAAAATCTTGTATCCCACAGAGCTCAGAGAGATTATATTGGCTATTTTACTCAAAAAAGTTGCTCAGATTTGATTGTATTTTATTCCACAATCATTCCTGTGAGAGTCTGACACATATTTCATTTTACTTCAGAAACACTTCCTATATTAGTTATATTTCTACCCTTGGATAAAGACTATGTTGTACCTGAATACTAATTTTAGGTAAACTTCCAATATATTTTCCCTCTCAGTGTCAACTTTTCCAACCAGAATAGTGAACTCTAGCATCACATGGCCAGGTCTGAACCCCAGTTCTGTCACTTTAATTAATTAAAGCACTTTAATCTCCTTATGCCTTAGTTTCATCTGTAAGGCGAGGATAAAAACAGATCCTACCTCCTGTGATGATTGAATGAGTTAGTGTCTGTATGACATTCAGAAAGCGCCAGGCACATAGTAAGCTGTAGAGACCAACGTCATCACCATCCTCAACCACACCTTGATTTACCTTGAACTCCCCTCTTACCATGAATAACTGCTTTTTCATTCTGATCTTTGTCCTTGGACCTATTAACACCTGATGCGCCAGAAGTGGGCAAAAGTAGTTCATGATGATGTAATGTAGGGTTGGGGACTGACTTTCTTTTCCCTCTGTGTCTTCTACCAGATGACTGTGTAACCGAAGTCCTAGAAAAGTCATCCGTGGTGTGCCCAGTGGGAGAGCTGACTTCAGTTAATGAGGGAAGTCTCTGAAAAGGACTTCTTGAACTTGCTTTTTCTGTGCACCTGTCATACACCCTAAATTCATCTTGGTTAGTTTCTTCATTGGAAAATTTTAAAATTTTAGTAGCTTCCTTTTTATTATTTTTAATGCCTTTCTTTTTGACACCCAAGTGACTTTGAATTACAGCCTCCATGGCTGCTTTCCTCTGGCAATTTGACATATGTTGCGTTGTTCTTACATGATATTCTGCAGGAAAAAGGCCTTCAAGCACGGTGCAAGAATGTGCTTGATTTTCTGCAGAAACAGGAGAGATTATTTCTGGGCCAAGACTTTTACACTGACTCAGAACCTCACTTTCCTGAAAATGTTCATTTCTACCATCAAGAGCACTACTGGGAGATTCTGAAGACTTCTCTGTGTGATCTTGTTCTTTTAAGCTTTGGTTTTCATTTGCTGATAAGCTATAAGGGAATTCATTTACAGAATATGCATTATCAGCCTCTAAGTCAAGACTTCTAGGCAGCTGGCCACTTGGACCTACAGTTTTATTTACCTCTGGGTTACCTGTAAAGACAGTCATTTTTTTGTCCTGTGCCTCTAAGTTGACAGGTGAGGTAGGGCTAATGTTTTTTAAGCCATGAGGAATACGTTCACAGTTCCTTTTAGAAGGCTGATGTTGGAGGGGCTGACCACTACTGCTGTCTGATGGAGTATGCAGAGGAGGTGGGGACACCCTGGGGAGATGGTTCCCTCCTGAAAGAGCATCCACACTGCTTTGTGGTTTGGCCTTTGGTGGAATTAAAACACGCCCTCCATTAGTTTCTGTAACTGGTGCTTGAGAATCTGGAAGGTCAGACTGAGGACTTGGAAAGTTAGTTCTTATTTTAGCTACAGGTGTCTCAGGATTTTCTCTATTGATTTCTTCTTGTTCCTTTAGTTTTTTTCTAGACAGGTTAAGTGGATCAGGGTCAAAGAAAGATTCCCTCTCTTGTGAAATGAATGTTCTCTTCTGTTGCTTCTTTCTTCTCCCTGGAAGCTTACTCTGCCTTTTCTCACCACCAGGGCCACTGACACTGCAGGCAAAATCCTCCTGTATATCATCTGTTCTCTGCATGTGTAATCCTTCCACTGGGCCATGTCCAGCGTTGGAGGACTCAGGCTCAACGTCTCCAGTTTCTTCATTGAGACGGGTGTTGATTTGTAATGCATCACAAGAAGATACTTTAGTTTTAGGTTCTAAGGAGAAAAATTTATATAATTAATATTTTCCTTTTAAAGTGAAACCAGAAATTCCACATTTATTTTTAAATATTACATATAAATACTGTATTACTTAAAAATATTATAAATATTTACTTAGTAGTTAATGTATTTCACTCAAGCAAAACAAAGTTCAAGTTTTTCATAATCTAATCATAATAATTTTAAATCAATGTAAACAAATAGAATTGTGCTAGAATGTCTTTTAAACTAAAAGATTATCTATTTTTATTTGTCATTTTTTTAAATAATATGTTTTTATTGATTTCAGAGAGGAAGGGGGAGGGAGAGAAAGACAGAAACATCAATGATGAGAGAGAATCATTGATTGGCTGCCTCTTGTACACTCCCTACTGGCGATCAAGCCTGCAAACCAGGCATGTGCCCTTGACGAGAATCAAACCCGGGGCCCTTCAGTCCACAGGCTGACGCTCTATCCACTGAGCCAAACCAGCTAGGGCTGAAGTCATTTTTTTCTTGTTTTTTTGCAGCTTTACTGAGGTACAACTGATAAAAACTATATAAATTTAAGGTGTACATGTGATATTTTGATATATGTATACATTGCAAAGTGTTAGCATAATCAAGTTAATTAACATATCCATCAATTCATATAGTTACAATATCTTTGTGTATGTTGAGGACACTTAAGATCAGTTCTCTTAGCAAATTTCAAGTACACAATATACATGCAGGATTAACTATTATCACCATGCTGCATATTAGATCTCTAGAATTTATTCATTCTGTGTAACTGAAACTTTGTACCCTTTGACCAATATCTCCCCATATCTCACTTAATATTTTATTTCATGTTTGGGTTTTTTTGGGCTCAAGTAATTTTAAAAAATACATTTTTATTAATTTTAGAGACAGAGAGGAAGGGAGAAGGGGAGAGAGAGACAAATATTGATACGAGAGAAACATCGATCCGCTGCATCCTGTGTGTGCCCTTGCCTGAGAATCAAATCTGCAATCTGTGCATGTGTCTTGTCGGGGTGGAACTAGTGACCTTTTGGTGCACGGGACAATGCTCAACCAACTGAGCCACACCGGCCAGGGCTCAAGTAATTTTAATACCTCATTCCTATTTCGATAGCCTCCAATTTTAAGATTATAAATGACCTAAGTATTAACATGAGAAATGACCAGTTTTTTTAGTATATTTTTATTGATTTCAGAGAGGAAGGGAGAGGGAGAAAGAGAAACATCAATGACAAGAGAGAATCATTGATCGGCTGCTTCCTGCATGCTCCCTGCTGGGGATCAAGCCTGCAACCCAGGCATGTGCCCTTGACTGGAATCGAACCTGGGACCCTTCAGTCAGTAGGCCAACGCTCTAGTTACTGAGCCAAACCAGCTAGGGCATGGCCATTGTTTTTTAGAGTACTTCCAGCCAGACACATTTCTCTATACATATGTAGAAATTTAATTTTAAAATCTTTCCAGCCCTACTGGCGTGGCTCAGTGGTTGAGCATCAACCTATGAACCAAGAAGTCACGATTCGATTCCCAGTCAGGGCACGTGTGCAGGTTGTGGGCTCAATCCCCAGTGTGGGGCGTGCAGGAGGCAGCCTATCAATGATTCTCTCTTATCATTGATGTTTCTCTCTCTTTCTCCCTCTCACTTCCTCTCTGAAATCAATAAAAACATATTTTAAAAGAGCTTTCCAATAACTAAGCAATAAGTATAATTACTAAAAGTTGAGAGGGAAAAAGAGCACTAAATAAATAATCCAACTGAAAGCATAGTTTATCATTCATAGAATGAGAGAAAATATTTACAAATCATGCATCTAGTAAGGGTCGAATAGCTATAGTATGAGGACCCTTACAACCCCAGAATTAAAAAACAAATAACCTAACTAAAATATTGGCAAAGGACTTGAATAGACATTTCTCAAAAGAAGATAGACAAATGGCCTCTAAGCACATGGAAGATGCTCAACATCATTAGTCACCAAGAAATGCAGATTAAAACCATAATTAGATACCACTTCACATCCACCAGGATGGTTATAATTTTAAAATGGCAAATTAAAAGTACTGGCGAGGATGTGGAGAAATTTGAATCCTTACTCACATTGTAGTGGGATACAAAATGGTGCAGCTGCTATAGGAAAGTTTGGCAATTCCTCAAAAAGTAACATAGCCCTGGCTGGTTAGCTTAGTTGGTTAGAGCATTGTGCTGATAAGCCAAGATGGCAGGTTGAATCCTCAGTCAGGGCACATACAATAAATCAATCAAAGAATATATAAATGGAACAACAAATCCATGTTTTTCTCTCTCTCTCTCTAAAAATCAATTTAAAAAAAGTTAAATGTGGAATTACCATATGACCCAGCAATTCCATGCCTAGGCATATATTGAAAATAATTGGAAACAAATATCTACACAAATGTTTGTACATGAATGTTCATGGTAGCTTAATAGCCCAAATTCATACTAGCCAAAAAGCAGAAACAACCCAAATGTCCATCAATTGATGAATGGATATACAAATGATGGTACATTGCCCTGGCTGGTTTGGCTCAACGGTTAGAGCGTTGGCCCATAGACTAAAGGGTCATGGGATCGATTCCAGTCAAGGGCACGTACCTTGGTTGCAAGCTTGATCCCTGGCCCTAGTCGGGGCACATGTCTCTCTCACATCAATGTTTCTCTCTCCCTGCTCTCCCCCTCCCTTTTACTCTCTCTAAAAATCAATGGGGAAAAGATATCCTCGGGTGAGGATTAACAAATGATGGCACACCTATACAATGAAACATTATTCAGCTGCAAAAGGGAATGGGTAATGATGCACGCCTGGATGTATGTATGTCTGGGTGGATGACCACTGAAAACATTATGCTAAGTAAAAGAAGCCAGTCCCAAAGGCCACATATTGTATGACTGCAGTTATATGAATTGTCCAGAAAAGGTTAATCCACAGAAACAGAAAGTAGATTCGTGGTCACCAGGGGTTAGGAGTGGGATGGGTAAGGGGTTTACTTTTGGGAGTGGTGAAAATGTTCTAGAAATAGTGATGATGGTTGCATGCTCCTGTGACTATATAGAAAGAACCACCCAATTGTACACTTTAAAGAGTCCATTGCATCCTCATGAGGAAAAGAACCACAGCCAAATGCCCCTGGAAAATGAACAATAAAGCAAGCATAAGTGAGTGGGCTAGCTTTACCTGAGTGGTTCAGCTGTGGTGAAACTTCTGGCTGGAGCAAAGAATCTTGTTCTTTCACTGTTTTCTTAATAAAATTCTTAACCTTCTCAGCTCTTTGGGCCCGCTAGAGAAAGCAAAAGCAGCTCAAGGAACAAATTTAAGGGAAAATAATTTTTTTAAACCTTCAGTATTATGAAGAATTGTTTATAGTTTGTACTACAATACCTCAATTTGAGAGAATAAGATTCACTTACCTGAAGACGGGCCAGAGTCTTGCTATATTCTCTTTTCAAGAATGCTAATTTTTCCTTCAACTGAAAGAAGAAAAACACCAGACAATTCTGAGCAGTGGAAAGAGAAGGGGTACAGTGCCTACCGGACATGAGTGCCGTGCTCAGCTGGTCCCTCAGCCAGAGGCAGTGGAGGGCACAAACCCACATCACTCTCACTTCTCACAAAGCACCAAGCCCTCTGCTGTCTCAGAACCTTTGCACAGACTGTTCTTCTCACCAGCAGCATTTCCTCCCCAACTCACCTTGCTAATTCCTACTGATTCCGCAAGCCTCAGCTTAGATTTTTATTTCCCTAGAACAGACTTCTAGGCTCTTTTCAATCCAGGTAGACAGAGCACTTCTCCCCTGTGCTTTCTTTATCATGGTATTTATTACTCTGTTACTGTTTACTTCTCTGTTTCCCCCAGCTCCCATTCTCACCGTGAGATCCTCCGAAGTAGTAAGACCTGTCACCCTCGCCCTGGCTGGTTTGGCTCAGTGGATAGAGCGTCGTCTCAGGCTCAATTCTGATCAAGGGCACGTACCTTTCAGTTGCAGGCCTGATCCCCGGCCACACCTGGGGTGCGTACAGGAGGCAACCATTTGATATGTCTCTCTCACATCGATGTTTCTCTCTGTCTTTCCCCCTCCTTCCTACTTGCTCTAAAAATCAATGGAAAAAATATCCTCAGGTGAGGATTAACAATAACAAAAAAGAGCTGTCACCCTCAGTGAAAATGGAATCTCTTCTTTGTCAATTATTGGTCCAGGTATCTCTACCATCTGGAGACAATCGCTGTATCAGTTCCTAAGGGTATCAGCTATTGTTCCAGGTGCTAGACATACTGTGTGGTCAAGCTTACATAAGGTGAATGATAATAAAGAAGAAAACAAATAAACATGACAGGTTTATAGGTCTGGCCTTATTTATTCCGTAATCAAACCCAGGTAAACAGGGAGGCATGAGAGCTCCTGAGTTATGAGAATGGACTACTTTATGGTAGAGAGGGTGGCCAGAGATCGTTTCTAAGGACCATTTGAACCTGGACCTGAGTAGGAAGGAGCTGGCAAGGGAAGCTCAGAGGGAAAGCTGTTTGTCTAAAATCACAGTTTAAATGGTATGTAATTCAAACCCATGCAGTCCAGCTCTCCAGTTTGTGCTCTTAAATCTGTGCCAGGCTGCTTCTTACATCGTCCTATTAGTCACCAGGCTTATCAATTATCTGGGAATTATCTTGACTTGTAAATGCCCTTTTCACTCCCACTGGAAAGTAGGCTGGGCCTGGCTGGTGTGGCTCCGTTGGTTGGGGCGTCACTATACACCAAACAGTGACGGGTTCAATTCCCTGTCACAGCAGATACCCAAGTTGCAGGTTCCATCCCCGGTGCGTGTGGGAGGCAACTGACCATTGTTTCTCTCTCTCTCTCTCTCTCTCTCTCCCCCTTCCTCTCTCTGAAATTAAAAAGAAAAGAAAAAGAAAGCAGGCCGGGATAAGAGGACTGTTGAGTTAATGTGAATGGAGAGCGCAGCACAAAGCTTGGCACAGCCAGCACAGGATACATTCTAGCTAATATCAGCATCAGTTCAGAGGGCTGGAGCAACACTGTTACTGTTGCAGAAGCAAAAGCAGGAACCGCCTGTCTCAGCAGAGTAACAGCTAAAGATGGCACTTCCATTCTGCAGAATACTATACAAAGCCTAAAAAAATCGGCTCAATAAACATGTACTAACATGGATGTCAAACATGGAGAAGGAAAGCGGAAGCTGCAGAACCATCCTGACTGTACCTGCATGAACACTCTCCTCTCCAAAAAATAACCCCACTTCTTGGTGGGTAGAGACTACAAGCGCGCCCCTCCGCACCCACCAACCTAAGGCTGGGTGGGTGGGCGAAGCTAGGGCTGAGAGTGTGGGGGCGGAGGGAGGGTGTCGATGGGGACTTTAGCTTTAGCTACAGTTTTACATTTTGTATTTATGCATTCGTGCTGCAAAAAATAAAAAGTGTCTTTAAATGCCACCAGGCGAGCACAGCGCTCTTCCACACTTTCACTCCCCGGGCAGCGCGAGTCCGCAGAGCGCAGGCTACAGGCCAGCGCGCCGCGTCGCCGGGACTCAGCGGCCGGCAATCCCGGGGAAGGGGGCAGAGTTCCGAGTCGCCCTTCCCGCACCCCCGCACCTTTTCCTTCTCCTCAAAACTGAGGGGCTTCCCAGAAGGTTCTTCCATCGGGCCGGCGAACGAACGGGAAGAGCAGCCGTCGCCGGCCCCGGGGCTGCGGACTAGCGGACTCCTGTGGGCCCCGACCCCGCCAGCACCCGGGGAAGGAATGGGGCGCCCGGGGGACCCGCAGCGCGCGACTAGCCAGCTCCCGCGCGCCGTCAACCCGGCCAATGGAGTCCCGTGCTGGGTCGCGCACGCGCAGCCGGGACTGCTGAGCGCCGGGCCGGGCCGCCTCGCGGGGGCGGAGCTGGGGACGAGACCCGAGGCAGCCTGGGAGCGGAAGTGCAGCGCTCGCCGGAAGTTCCGGCATCCCCGGCATCCCGGCGGACTGAGCGGCTGACAGGCTTTGGCTGGAGCCCGAGCTGCTGGGAGGACTTGGTGGCCATGGAGTTGGGCGAGCTGCTCTACAACAAGTCCGAGTACATCGAGACGGTGCGCGGTGTCCGCACTTCGGCGCGTCCCTCTCCAGGCCGGGGTCCCTTTACGGCCGGTGCCCCCTCTTCTCCCTGCCCCACCCCGGTCCCTGTGTCGTGTATAGGTCTGGCCTTCTTTATTCCGTAAATGGACGGTTTAGGCTTTTTCATTGAATTCCGGTTTCCTCGTAGAGACAAAATGCTTTATAGAAAGCAGGGCAGGTCTCGTCCATCCTAATATTAATTACAGCTCCAGACTTCGGGCTTTTAAAAACGAACCTGTCATAATTGATTACTATGTGCTAAAGACTGTTAAGCTCTTTATAGTCAATATATGATGTGTGTAAGTGGCTCAATCAACGTTACTACTATTATTTTGTTTTTCATTGAATCTCCCAACTCTATGATACTGGTGAAGTCATTACCCTGGGGTTAGGGCTTTAGAATTGGGGCTTGAATTGGGGCTTGAATCCACGTCTCTGGTGCCACTAGGCCAGTGGTTCTCAACCTTCCTAGTGCCGTGACTCATGTTGTGGTGACGCCCAACCATAAAATTATTTTCGTTGCTACTTCGTAACTGTAATTTTGCTACTGTTATGAATCGTAATGTAAATATATGATATGCAGGATGTATTTTCATTGTTACAAATTGAACATAATTAAAGCATAGTGATTAATCACAAAAACAATATGTAATTATATATGTGTTTTCCGATGGTCTTAGGCGACCCCTGTGAAAGGGTCGTTCGACCCCAAAAGGGGTCGCGACCCACAGGTTGAGAACCGCTGCACTAGGCTATATAGACAGACCTCCCACATTGAATTTCTGCATCTGTTCTTCCAGTCCCTCGTTTCCGAGTCCACCCTTGCTTCATTGAAATTCTGGACTCATTCCTTGTAGACTACTCCCTATTTCAAGTCTTTCTCTCCAGTATGAACTTCTTTGACGGAAACCTCTAGCTCAAAACCCACGCAGCTTGCCCCCCCTCATTCCCTGCTGTTTCCTTTCAGGCCTCTGGGAACAAAGTTAGTCGCCAGTCGGTGTTGTGCGGAAGTCAGAACATTGTTCTCAATGGCAAGGTAAGGGACAAAGCCACCCCCTGGATGAATACCTTTGCTTTCTTTTCACAAATTATTACATCAGCAGAGCAGATAAAATGTTGCCACATTTCCCATTTATTGCTGTATATTTAAAAATTCTCTTTTAATTCTCCAGATTGGATTTATTAAATACAAGAGAGGTTCAATAAAAGGAGACAACAGAAAGCCTTTTTCCTTTTATGCCAGGAACATGATACAATGGCACCCACAATTAAAATTATTACCCAAGATTGAAATACTGCACACAAAACATAAATATGTAACAAAATGTTTTAGTGCAGAAACTAAAGTAATACTAATATGTTTATGTTTGATAATAATTATTGATTCAGTCCTAACTGAAACACTTGGAAAAATAGTACAATTTGAGACCAGTTTGTAAATGGAATATGAAAGGCTCAAAATCTTCAGTCTGAATAAATCAAAATGGCAGAGAGATAAACATAAACTTGCAGATAGCCCTAGCCAATTTGGCTCAGTGGAAGGGTCCTGGGTTTGATCTGGTCAAGGGCACGTACCTTGGTTACAGGTTCCTCCCTCACCTGGGCCCTGTCTTTCCCTCTGTTTTTTACTCCCTCTAAAAATTAATGGAAAAATATCTTCGGGGGAGGATTAAAAATTTTTTAAAATAAACTTGAAGATAATATTAGAACATTTAAGAACCATAGAAAATATCAAGATGTATTTGAGATTAATAAACATTGAAGTCTGTGTCTCCTGCCATCTGGAATACTAAATATTCCTTGAAATGTTACACCTCTAACCTCCAGAGGGAAAATAGTCTAACTGTAATCAAGAGATCACAAATATTTTTAGTAAAGATAAAATTTGTATGTCCATTAGTGCATCATATCCATTTGAGATTTAATGGAAAGGAAATATAGTTCAGTAAATAGATATAATTAGTAATTATAGACACACTGGTTAGCACAGAAATAGGAAATTCCGTTAACTTCATCTGACTCATTTGGAAATCCTTCAGCTAATTATAAAACATTTTCTGTGCTCAGCCCCCGTAGCTCAGTGATTGAACATCGACTTATGAACCAGGAAGTCATGGTTCCATTCCCAGTCAGGGCACGTGCCTGGGTTTCGGGCTCAATCCCTAGTAGCTGTTCTCAGTTTTTTTGGGTATATATCTAGGAATCAGATTGCTGGGTCATGTGGTAATTCTTTTTTTAAAGATAAACTATTTATTTATTTATTTACTTACTTACTTATTTGAGAGGAAGGGAGTAGGATAGAGAGATAGAAACATCGATGAAAGAGAAACATCATTGATCGGCTGCCTTCTGTACACACCTCTACTGGGGATTGAGCCCACAACCTGGGCATGTGCCCTGACCAGGAATCAAACAGGTGACCCGCCCTAGCTGGTTTTGCTCAGTGGTTAGAGCAGGGGGGTCCTCAAACTTTTTAAACAGGGGGCCAGTTCACTGTCCCTCAGACTGTTGGAGGGCCGGACTATAGTTTTTAAAAAAACTATGAACAAATTCCTATGCACACTGCACATATCTTATTTTGAAGTAAAAAAACAAAACGGGAACAAATACAATATTTGTATTTGCATGTGGCCCGCGGGCCGTAGTTTGAGGACCCCTGGGTTAGAGCATTGGCCTGTGGACTGAAGGGTCCTGGGTTTGATTCCAGTCAAGAGCACATGCCTGAGTTGCAGGCTGGATCCCCACAGTAGGGGGCGTGCAGGAGGCAGCCAATCAATGATTCTCTCATCATTGATGTTTATATCTCTCTCTCCCTCTCCCTTCCTCTCTGAAATCAATAAAAATATATTTAAAACAAAAACTGATAACCTCTTGGTTCCTGGGTTGACGCTCAACCTCTGAGCCACACTGGCTGGGCCATGTGGTAATTCTGTGTTTAGTTTTGTGACTTTGTAACTATTTTCCAAAAGGGCTGACCCATATTACGTTTCCACCACAATGCAATAGAGTACCAGTTTCTTCACATCTTCACTAACACTTGTAATTTTTCGTTATTTGGATGTGGGTATGAATGGTATCTCATTGTAGTTCTTGATTTGCATTTCCCTAATAACTAATGATGAACATTTTTTAATGTGCTTATTGGCCATTTTTATATCTTCTTTGGGAAATATTTATTCAATACTTTGCCCATTGCCGAAACCGGTCTGGCTCAGTGGATAGAGCGTCGGGCTGCGGACTGAAAGGTCCCAGGTTCGATTCCGGTCAAGGGCATGTACCTGGGTTGCGGGCACATCCCCAGTGGGAGATGTGCGGGAGGCAGCTGATCAATGTTTCTCTCTCATCGATCTTTCTGACTATCTCTCTCCCTTCCTCTCTGTAAAAAATGAATAAAATATATTAAAAAAAAATACTTTGCCCATTTAAAAATTGTGTTGTCTTTTTGTTGTTGGGTTATAGGAGTTCATTATATATTCTGCATATTAAGTCTTTATCAGATATATGATTGCAAATAAATCCTACCATTCTGAGATTATCTTTTCACTTTCTTTTTTGCAGTGTATTGATTTTTAGAGAGAGAGGAAGGAAAAGGGAGAGAGAAATATCGATGTGAGAGTACAATATTGATCAGCTGCCTATTGGAGATTGAACCCACAACCTGGGCAAGTGCCCTTCACTGAGAATTGAACCAGCAACCTCCTGGTGCGCAGGACGACGCCCAACCAACTGAGCCACATTGGCCAGGGCTCTTTTCACTTTCTTGATGATGCTCTTTGATGCACAAAAGTTTTTAATTATGATGAAGTCCAATTTATCTATTTTTTTTCTTTCGTTGCTAAAGATTTTGCTATCATATCTAAGAATCCCATACCCAAATCACAAGATTTACTCTTATATTTTTTTCTAATAGTTTTTTGGTTTTAGCACTTGTGTTTAGGTTGTTGATGCATTTTTTTTTTTGGTTTGTTTTGTTGTTAATTCTCACCCTAGAATATTTCTTCCATTAATTTTTAAAGAGAGTGGAAGGGAGGGGGAGAGACAGAGAGACATTGATGTGAGAGAGAGACATCTATTGGTTGCCTCTCTCTTGCTCCTATTGGGGCTGGGGATGAAGCCTGCAACCGAGGTACGTGCCCTTCACAAGAATTGAACCTGGGACCTTTCAGTCCAAGGGACAACACTGTAATCACTGAGAAAAATGAGCTAGGGCTCATTGATGCATTTTGAATTAATTTTTGATATAGGGGGTCCTAATTCATTCCTTTGGAATGTGGAAATTCGGTTGTCTGAGTGCCATTTTGGTCTTGGCATCATGTTAGAAAATCAGTTGGCCATAGATGCATGGTTTCTTTGTGGACTCTCAGTTTTGCTCCATTGGTTGATATGTGTGTTCTATGTCAATACCATACTGTTTTGGTTGTTGTGGCTTTTCAGTAATTTTGTAATCAGAAAGTATGAGTCCTCCAACTTTGTCCTTTTTCAAGATTGTTTTGGTTGTTTTGGCCCATCTGTTTCTTTTTAGAAAGATGTTTTATTTGGCACTATTTGGTACACACAGAAGAGTAATATGTAATATATTGTTATAAAGTATAAAAATTAAATCAATACCAGGAACCCACCATCCAAATGCAGAACTGTAACATATAA